CTGCACTGACCTGAAGCTGCTCTCACGGCACCGGCAAAAGCAGAGGCAGCCATCTTGCCCTCCTCGCCTACGGCGGCCGCATTGGGTTTAAAAGCACCAGAGCGAAAGTGAATAAAGGAAAAGCAACCCGGGCAGAGTCAAGGGAGAGGAAAAGAGCAAAGGAGTGGTTAACTCAACATTTATTGAATGCATACTATACGCCAGGTTCTGTCCTTTCCCGCTGTAAAACAACTGCATATAGAACAGTGCCTGGGATATAGTAGGTTTGCAAAAAAAAATTGTTTTGAGCATGTCACTGAAAGAGCTATTTAACGTACACAACGGCGGCCGGCGTGGTGGCTCACACCTGTAATCCTAGCACTCTGGGAGGCCCAGGAGGGAGGATGGCGCTTGAGGTCAGCAGTTCCAGACCAGCCTCGGCAAGAACGAGACCCGTCTTTACCAAAAATAGAAAAAAATTAGATGGGCAACTACAAATAGAAAAAATTAGCCGGGCCTGGTGCATGCCTGTAGTCCCAGCTACTTGGGAGGACGAGGCAGGAGGGTTTCTTGTGCCCAAAAGTTTGAGGTTGCTGTGAACTATGATGACGCCACAGCACTCTAGCCCAGGCAACAGAGCAACACTGTCTCTAAAAATAAATAAATAAATATAAATAAAGTACACAACATATTTGAAACAATTTTTTGCTCTTTTTATTAATTTGAGAGAATAATACTTGTTAACCTACCAAAACTGGAAGACGTTATGATAATTTAATGAAAAAATAGTAGTATTATTAAAAATCATTTTGGAAAAAAACAGCATACCAACTATAATCAAATGAATGTAAATATCCTAAGGCTATCACACACACACATATTCTTAAAAACCAGTAACACTGTCATTTTGTAGGTAGAACAGCATCTCAACTCCGCTGGAACAATTCTGCATTCCTTATTTTATTCCTGAGAATTAGTGATCGTACATATTTCTTCTGATGTTCTTCCAAATAGGGGAAAAAACCCAACAACAAAACTCTTCTATTCCATCCCATTGCCTTAAGATCTCTTCCGCAGGGAAAATCCAGGGCTATTCCATGCGGATACGATATACAACATTATTGACTGGTTGGAATGGGTAAGGGTCAATCACCTGATCTCAAGGAGTTCACGTTTAGTAAGGAGACAAGCACAGAATAAAAATAAGACAAGGCAGATAAATGACTCATTGGAGCACTAAAAAAAGTTACGGAGGGAAGGCTCTGATTGGAGCAATCAGAGATGAGGATGTAGACTATAAGATGGATCTTAAGCAATGGGGAAGATTTTAACAAAGGCAAGAGCATTCTAGGCAATTAAGAACAGCAAGAGCTAAGGTGAAAAGAGAGGGAAGCAAGACAGAAAAGCACAGGATTTATTTAGACCAGTGGTTCTTAAAGTTTTTGGCCTCAGAACCCTTTTGTGCTTTTAAAAATTATTGAGGATCCCAAAGAGCTTTTACTTATATTGGTATTTACTGTATAGGAAATTAAAATTGTGAAAAATTAAAAAGTTATTGTATCAGTTTCCTATTGTTGCTATAACAAGTTACCATAAATTTAGTGGCTTAAATGACACAAATTATCTTACAGTTCTGTAGGTCAGAAGTCTAAAACGGGTTTCCGTGGGCTAAAATCAGGGTATTCACAGGGTTGTGTTCCTTCTCAAAGCTCTAGGGGAGAATCCTTTTCTTTCCCTTTTCCAGTTTCTAGAAGCTGCCTGCATTCCTTGGCTCATAACCTCTTTATATCCTGAAACACTGCAATTGCATCTCTCTGACCTCTGCTTCCATTGTCACATTTCCTCTGACTGTCCCTTTTGCCTTCCTCTTGTACTCATGACTCTTGTGATTACATTGGGCCCACACCGTTAATACAGAATAGTGTCTTCATCTGGAGAGATTCTTAACGTAATCGTTATGTACAAAGTCCTCTTATAAGGTAACATATTCACAGGTTCCAGAGAGTAGGAGAACATGGACATCTTTGGGGAATCATTATTCTGCCTACCACACTTATTAATTTGTTTAAAAACAACAATTATAAACTCATTGTATGTTAACATAAGTATGTTAATGAAAAATAACTATTCCAAAAAAAAAGGGCGGTGTCGTTTGCCTTTCTGCAAATCTTTTTAAGGTCCAGCATTAAAAAAAAACCTGGGCTGGGCTCGGTGGCTCACGCCTATAATCCTAGCTCTCTGGGAGGTCGAGGCGGGCGGATTGTTTGAGCTCAGGAGTTCGAAACCAGCCTGAGGAAGAGCGAGACCCCGTCTCTACTAAAAATAGAAAGAAATTAATCAGACAACTAAAAAATATATAGAGAAAAAATTAGCCGGGCATGGTGGCGCATGCCTGTAATCCCAGCTACTCGGGAAGCTGAGGCAGGAGGATCGCTTGAGCCCAGGAGTTTGAGGTTGCTGTGAGTGAGGATGATACCACGGCACTCTAGCCTGGGCAACACAGCAAGACTCTGTCTCAAAAAAAAAAAAAAAAACCTGGATTCTGTTGGGGCTAGCGGAGTCAATTGGGACAACACTAACCTCATCCTCAAAAAAAAAAAACAAACCTAGATTCTAAAATTTGCTTCTGCATTCGATATCTTGAAATATCATATGTCAGGTAGCCTCTAGTAAATTCTACTGTATAATTATGAGATAATGAGAGGAAAAAAGACAAATACTATCTTAATATTATTATGAAAATAGTTTTCATCTTATGGACCCCCCTGAAAGGGTTTCAGGCTCCCGATGGGGTCTCTGGATCACACTTTAAGAACCTCTGAGATGGTTATATATCGGTTTCTGAGACATAGGATATGTAAGTAGGTGATGAGCTTGAAACACTGTTGTTGCAATCTTGATCTCCCACCTATGGTGGTGGCCACTTTGAGTCCAAAAACATCCACATATGCTGGAAGGGTATGTTGAGACATTTGTAAAAGCTCTTTGAATTAGCAGTGGGAGTCACTGAACCTTTTTTTTTTTTTTTTTTTTTTTGAGACAGAATCTCACTCTGTTACCTGTAGGGACCGTCCCTGGGCAAAAATTGGCTTAAGCCCAGAGTCAGCAAAACTGGGTGTGCTCTCCTTGGCGCCAGAGGTCAATAGGCCTGGCCCGGCCTGTTGATCAAACAGAACTATTCCTCATGACAGATAGCTTTATGACAGATAACCAAGCGCCTGAGGTCTTGCAAACAAGCCAAGGTATCTCATTGAGATAAAGAAGTTAAGATGCAAACGTCTGCTTCCCTTAAGCAATCCTCTGGAAGGAATGAAAATGTATTTTCCTCAGGGCGCCCAAGGTAGTCACGTGCCAGGAAGTAGCTGCCGGACAGAGAAAAGTACAAGAATAAAGCGACTGGTGGAATCCCCACTTCAGTCTTGTATGTCTTGTGTGTGTCTGTGTGTTTCTTTCTGTGTCCATCCCCCGTTCTGCAATCCGGGCTGCGACAGTTGCCTGTGCCGTGTCAGCCTCGTTCACAGTAACCTCAAACTCCTGGGCTCAAGGGATCCTCCTGCCTCAGCCTCCCAGGTAGCTGGGACTACAGGCATGTGCCACCATGCCCGGCTAATTTTTTCTATTTTTAGTAGAGACGGGGGTCTCGCTCTTGCTCAGGCTGATCTCGAACTCCTGAGCTGAAACGATCAGCCCGCCTCGGCCTCCCAGAGAGCTAGGATTACAGGCGTTAGCCACCACGCCCAGCCACACTGCACCTTTTGAACCGGGGAGTGATGTGATTTAAATTTCTGAGTTACTTTAGGAGAGTCCTGATAATATTTTAAAGTAAAAATACTCATAACTTATATGTAGAGGGTGAGGATTAAAGACTTCGTTAAATAAGGGGTTAGAAAACTATAGAAACCAATTTTGAGGTTTCAGGTTTTTTTTTTTTTTTTTTGGGACAGGGTCTCCTTCTGTCACCCAGGCTACAGTGCAGTGGCATCATCACAGCTCACTGCAACCTCAAACTCTTGGGCTCAAGTGATCCTCCTGACTCGGCCTCCCAGAGTGCTAGGATTAGAGGCGTGATCACTACATTCTAGCCTGGGCAACAGAATGAGACACTGTCTCAAAAAAAGAAGAGAGAGAAAAGATGAGCGACTGATGCTCTGGAGGATAAGTGATAGAGAAATGAAATAGAATATAATGCATTACAATAGTGCCCCGAAAACCACAGGACACACACAAACATAAGTAATTATTTGATTTTTAGATAATTTTCAAATCCGTCTCTCCATTTTACAAATGGGAGTAGTAGTGGTGCGGTTTCCTCTACAGAGAATACCATATTGTAACAAATTATCTAGTTAAGACTTGAAAATACTCGGCAAACTCAATAGAAGATATACAAGTTATTTTCTATGATATTGTGATCAAATGCTAATAGTATTAGTATTAATACTACACTGGAATATACACGGAGTATTAATACCACGTCCAATATTTAACGTGTTTTATTTTGATTATGGACTAAGTAGAATACTTTAAACAGTGCTTCTGCATTTACTTCCTTATCTTCCAACTCATCCCACAGATAGCGGCCAAAATTATCTTTCAAAAATAAAAACTTGGCGAAGAAAGCAGTGGTTTAATCTGGAAAGAGTAGAAGCTGTGGAGCCCAAAGAATCTGGGTTCCTATCCCGGCTCTGCCACTTGACAGGTTTCGCACATCGGTCCCTCCAGTGCTCTTCCCGTCTAGTCTCCAGCAATCAGGATGACTCACTGAAGAAGGGCTGTCCCATGAAACAAACGCGCTGAGACAACTCCATTGTTTACGTAACTTTGGCCAAATCGATTCCTTCCTACGAAATATCCAGCTCACAGAGACGGTTAAAATGCTTTCTCACTTTAATTCTTCCAAGAGTTACAGTTATCCATTTTTTGCGTTGCGAAGACCGAACTTCAGACGCCCGATTCCGTTCACCTAGTAACCTCCACTTAGGGCAGCAAACCTGTAGCCGGAGCGCGACCCGGAAGGAGAATCCGCCCTTCCCACCTCCTTCTCAAAAGAATCATATGGAGTTTGCGTTTCCGCAGCCAGGACAGCGCCCTAACGCAGGAGCCGCCGAGTTGGGGCGAAAGAAGGGGTTGCGCGTGCGCAGTGGCGATGGCTGCCCTTCCGGTGCGCCCCGCGCGGAGAGGCGGCACAGACGTAGGCACGCACACACGCACGCACGCTTTCTTTTACTCGCGCCGCCGCAGCAGCTCCCGCTTACTCCAGCGGCGCCGTTCACTTTATCGAGATGCTGCGGGCCTGTCAGTTATCCAGCGTGACCGCCGCCGCGCAGGTGAGTGCGGACGCTCCCCGAGACAGCGCGTGAGGAAGCTGACTTGGGACAGTAAATGGGAAACGGGGGAGGCTTTGCCGCTACCTAGGCCCCAGGACAAAGGCGTGTCTCGGGGCCACCTTTATCGCAAGAGGCCCGGGCCGGCCTGTGTGGCAGCTCGCCCTACTGGGGTGACTTGAGGGTTTCTGGTGAAGCAGGGTAGGGTGTGGAGAGGTAGCTGGGAGGCGCGGCTTCTCCTACCGGTCACCCAATCAGTACCGCGCTGCCCCACTCAAGGACCAATCCTGGCTGCTGGCGTCTAAGTCGCCGGTTGGGCGCGCGATAGGTTTCCAGTGGTGAAGGTCGAGAGGGGGAGAACTACAGTTCCCAGCAGGACCTGCGTAGCCGTGGCTTGTTGCATCTTTAATAAGGAGGTGCCTGGACTACTAGAGAGAGTCCTCGTTTTAGGGGTCAAGGCTGTAATTATTCGGGAAGGACTGCCCTTCTTTTCATAGCCGAGAACATGTCTGGACTATTCTTAGGCTAAGCAGAAGCGAAAGATTGTCGTTTATGAAGCTCAAACTCCTGTTCCTTAAGCAAAGACAGGAGTCATGACCTTGGGGCTCATTTCTGAGATTAGGTTGGGGATCTGTGTCTTTAGGCACTAGGACAACTTTGGCTGACATTCAAGGAGCCTTGGCACCCCAGTTACAATTGTGAAAATAACTTTCTAAAATTGAAAATAAAAACCCTATTTCCATTACTCACGATTTTCAGAAAATTGATATTCTGGCAAAATGTATACTACACAACAGTGTGATTTAAGCAGTAATTGAACAAAATTCCTAGGCATAGTGACTTTCAGATCATAAAAGTCAAGCTTTGTTTTTTCAAGTTTGGTTCACTTCTTATTTGTTTCTAGGATAGGAGAAACAGCCACTTTCATAGGAAGGTGAGACCTGTATTAGTTTTCTGTTGCTACTTAACAAAAACCACAAATTTAGCAGCTTAAAACAACACCTCTTGATTATCTTACAGTTTCTGTAGGATAGAAGTCTGAGCATGAGTGATCTGGATTCTCTGCTCAGGGTCACACAGGCTACAGTCAAAGTATTGGTCATGCTGTGGCTCTCATTTAGAGATCAGGGTCCTCTTCCAGGCTCATGCAGTTCGTTGGCAGAATTCAGTCCTTGCAGCTATAGGATTGAAGTCCCTGTTTTCTTGCTATTAATAGCTCTTGCTAGTTAATGCTCTCAGCTTCTAGAGGCTGCCTGCAGTTCTTTGTTACAAAGCACCCAGAGGCCATTCATAACATGGATGGTTCTTTTTTTGCAGGCTACTTGTGGCTTATCTCTCTGACTTTATAATCTCCCTTCCCTGTCTTTGCCCTCTAGACCCATATTTAAAAGACTTATATGATTAGGTTAGGCTCATCTGGATGACCTGCTTTTCAATTAGTTCAGAGTCAACTTTTTGGGATCCCAATTAGGAAATAAGAAGAAAACTAATTAAAACTTTGTATTAAAATAAGAACTCTTTTCTAGCCCTCAACCAAGATGTCTAAACTTCCTGAAATTTCTAACTTGTAAAATTCATTAGTTTATTCCCACTATCTCCTCAGTCATTCTACAGCATTTGATGTTATTGCTTTGTGAAAGTGTCTGTACTTTTGGCTTCTCCCATGTAATACCTTGGATCCCATCTTACCCTTCAACTCTCTCCTCATTTTCCTTTACTAAGTCTGCTTCTTGTATCTCTAAATACACCCCTTCCCATCTCTTTATATAGTCTCTAATTTGGCATTACATCAACTGTAAGAACTTTAATCCCTAAGCAGATGACTCTCTTGACTCTCCAGCCTCCTCTTTTTAGCTTTGTACTCAAATTTCTGAAGTCTGTTTTATTTTTTAGAGACAGAGTTTCACTCTGTGGCCCAGGCTGGATTGCAGTGGCATGTCCTAGGTCACTGCAGCCTTGAACTCATGGGCTCAGGTGATCCTCTTGCCTCCTCCTGCAGAATAGTGTGCACAACCGTGCTTGGCTAATTTTTTTATTTTTTGTAGAAATGGGGTCTTGCTATGTTGCCCAGGCTGGTCTTGAGCTCCTGACCTCAAGCGATCCTCCCTCTTTGGCCTCCCAAAGTGCTGAGATTACAGGAGTGAGCCACCATGCCCAGCCTGAAAGTCTTGTTTGATTTTGTCACCTTATCCAGAATTTTCCACTTGTCAATATTCTTTCCACTTCATCACACTCCATCTTCTTAAATGTCTTCTTGCTTTTACCATTTCTCTCCTAGAGTCTTTGCATAGTGGTTAGTAAAGGCTTTTTAAAAAGCTAACATACAATGTCATGCCTTTCAGTGGTAACCCATCACATTCAGAATAAAACCTACAGGCCCTTGATGATCTGACTCTTTCCATATTGCATTTTTCTATCTGCTTCACTCTGTTCTTCTGGTAATCTCCAGCACATGCCTCACTGCCTTTTTAGTTGGTGTTTCTTTTGCCCTAAACTTTTCTTGTATGTGTGTGTGTGTGTGTGTGTGTGTGTGTATACATATATATAAAGATTTATTATAGGATTACTCAGGAAGTTATGGAGATTGGCAAGTCCAAAATCTGCAGTGGGGCTGGCAGGCTTGAGACCCAGGAGAGCCAATGGTGCAGCTTCAGTCCTCAGGCCAGCAGCCTGGAGACCCAGGAGAGTGGATGATGCAGCTTCAATCTGAAGGCAGTCTGTTGGAGAACTCCCTCTTGCTTTTTGTATTCAGGCCCTCAACTGATTGAATGAAGCCCACCTACATTATGGAGGGCAATCTTATTTACTTACGGTTCACCAATTTAAATGTTAAACATCCTCCAAGTTGGCACATAAAATTAACCATCACAGATGGTTATCTACCTTATTCTTTATGTTCGGGCTGATCATCCTTGCATTGCCTAAAATGGGTATTCAGTAAAAATGAATTCTGTTTTCCAGAAATATGCTTTAGAATTCTGGTCCTTCCTCATTTTCCACCCCTCCCTCCTCCCAGTCCTAACTCTATCTTTCTTCTCTTAGTCGCAGTATTGCATCACCAGGCCCCACCTTTTTGAGGTGGGCACTGGGTTTAGAGGACCTGGGCTTTCAGCATAGGCCAGCCCTCTCCCAAACTTGGGATTTGGAAGTGGTTGTTTGCATATGCAGTAATCTTTTCTGCTTGTAAGTTGAAACAAGAGGAAGAAACATTATTGTTCTTGAGGATCAACCAAGGCAGCTTATTTAACCAAGACCAAGTTTAATAGCCTGACTAGTTTAGGATTGAACTTGTGTGTGGACATGAGCTATCATCTTCTAGAATTCTTTCTTTCTGTTAGGGTTATAAAACAGTATGTTACTCAGTAACAGAGATAGGTGGCCAACCACACGTGCTAGAAAGTAGTTTAGTAGATCATGCGGCATGCTGTTTGCCTCTACCCACGCTAGAATCTTCTTCATTATTGCTCATTTTCGTATCGGTAGACCAGTGGCTTTGAAACTATTTTGAAATATATCTTCCATGATAATTTAGTATACCCGAGTAAGAATATATAAAATATATTCACACATATATGCAGGAAAAGCTAAAGAAGTTCCTGCTTTTGCCAGACTGATTAGTATCTGTCATTTCTATAACTGAAGAGCAGTTTTTTCCCTAGATATATAATGTGGTTGTACTGAAAGATAATGCTGCTTCAATGCCCAACTTAACTGGATTTTTGGTGGGATTTACTTTTTAACCTTAATGTCTGATTCTTTTCTTTTCTTTTTTTTTTTTTTGAGACAGAGTCTCACTCTTTTCCCCTGGCTGGAGTGAGTGCCGTGGCGTCAGCCCAGCTCACAGCAACCTCAAACTCCTGAGCTCAAGCAATCTTTCTGCCTCAGCCTCCCGAGTAGCTGGGACTACAGGCATGTGCCACCATGCCCAGCTAATTTTTTCTATATATTTTTAGTTGTCCGATTAATTTCTTTCTATTTTTAGTAGAGACGGGGTCTCGCTCTTGCTCAGGCTGGTTTCGAACTCCTGAGCTCAAACAATCTGCCCGCCTCGGCCTCCCAGAGTGCTAGGATTACAGGTGTGAGCCACTGCGCCCAGCCTCTTTTCTTTTTCTAAGATTGATTTTTGTTGTTGTTGTTGTTCCTTACAAAGTGAAAGGATTGACTTTCCTTAGAACTTAATGCTTGATTCTAATAAAATATTTTAAGTTAACTGTAGAAAGAGTTCATTGCATACTAATTTGAATTTCAAATGCAGAACTGGCCATTAACTTCTGGGTGCCTTTTGTTTGTGTGAGAGGAATCCTTATGACAAAATGCACCAAAATGTTGTTGGTTACAGTAATCAGCAAAGTCTGTAGATGAAATCTGGAACCTCCCGTTAGGGTTCATATGAGGGGACTTTCACTACTTGTCTCCATTTCCAGGTTATGCTGGATTGTGGTTTCTTTATAGGTCTTCACTTTAGTTTGGTAGAGCTAAGGAATAGATGGTCTGTGTAAGAACATTACATGGGAATTGTATGTTTTCTCTTCCTTTTTTTGGTTTGGTTTTTGTTTTTTAAAACCTTATTTCTGCAGGTTAGAAGCAGCAATGCTAACCTTATAACATTTATTGCAAGGAGAAAATATTTTTTAATTACAAAAATTTTTTTCCACATCAGATGGGTAATAGGTCGACATTGTGAAAGGTTTAAAGGAGGCGTATCTTACACATGCGTGTGAAAACCCAGTTATCATGCTTGTGAACTACAAAGGATCACATTTCTTAAATTTGTCAAGACACATTGCTTTGAAACAGTATCATTCTTCCTCTATCATAGGTCATTATTAATAAAAAGGACTTCCAGGACAAAGAAGTAGCCCATATTTTGTGTGTTGAAGTGTAGGATATTTAGGTTATATTAATAAAGAGAGAGTATAGTTTGATGCTTAAGAAAGAGAGCTCTGGAGGCAGACCTTGTATTTGGCAATGTTTTTTTTTTTTTTACACCAAAAGCACCAGAA